GTCGCACCCATCGCAGCAACCAGGTGAACGCGCCCGAATATGTGTTCCTGATCTCGGAGCTGGCTGGCGAGCGACGGTTCGCCTCCATTGTCGCCAAACGGCTGGAGAGTCTGGTGAGTGTCAGCCAACCGTTCACCCTGTCAACCATCGTTCTGCACATTGGGCGTCACAGCGGCGATAAAATTCGAAGCCTGAGGTCGTCGGACATCTCAGATGCTCTATCAATCCTTGTGCCAGAATAAATCGAATGCAGTTTCTTTCGTTTCTGTCTATACAGGGTGTTCATTAGCAAATGAAATAAAGTTAACCCCCGTGGGAGGCACATACTAGAGCTGAGACCAGCACAAATCAGAAGTTTTTACGGTTCAACGATCACCCGAGGCAAATATATTCCATTTCTCGTTCCGAAAAGAGTGTCTTAAACAGGAGTGTGCTGTCTTAATCCGCGCCGTGCTGGGGGGCGTTTTTACGCCGTGACCCCTCTGTATGCCCCTGAGGTCATCTCAGGTCATGAATGGTCACCAGCAGTTTTTTGGCTTTAACTTTTGATAGACGTGCTAGGGCGGTGACAACACTTCAGTTGTGTTCAGCTGGACGATACGGATCGACTGATATGCAACATGACCCTTTCCGGTCAGGTCATGACCTTGACCTGAGATCAAATTTTCAAAATGACCTTTTAACCCTCGCCCTGGCAGGGGCGAGGGTCCGTAAACCTAAGGGGGGTTGCATCCTTAGGGTGGTTGATGCAACCCCCTAAGGTTTTTCGACGATAGCGTAAAAACGGGCCAAATGTGGCACAGCCTATGGGGCAACCTTTCTACGTATGACCTGAAAATTTCAAGTCCGGGTGACCTTGGGTCAGGTCACCAGGTCAGAAAAACCGGTACAAGGTCATGGTCAAATTTCAAATTTCTTTTTGCACCTGTCCAACTCACTGGACTGATTTCCTTCAAACTTTCAGGATGTGCTAAGTTCACCGAGTTGTATAATATATAGTTCGGGTTTTTTGATGTCACTGACCTGAGGTCAGTTAGAGGTCACTACGTCGTAATGTTAAGCCTATGGGAAAATACTAAATTCGGAAAATACTGGAGATATCCGCTTCGTTCCATCACTTTTGTGCTTTGAAACCATAGTAATTAACAGCTGGTCACTTGGTGCTTCTTTGTTTGGTGTACCTATCCATGGGTCAGGTCAAATGAGGTCAACTGAGGTCAAATGACGTTTTTGCCAATAACTTGGCACATAATGACGCTAGAGCTTAAAAAAATGATGTCATTGTGTTCCTGGTGATCAGCTGAATCGAATGATATGCGATATGATGCAATTTGGTTAACTTGAACTTAATTAGTTAATTAAAGTTTACTTAAAAATTAAGAAAAACTAAGTACACTTAGCAAACAAAAAAGTATACCATATGACGCGCCTTGACGTGCTGAGTTCACTGGTGCTTTTCTTTTCTCTCTATCTTAATTAGATCAAAAGTTATAAGCGAAAACTTTTTACCTGTTTTTAGCGAAATTTGTACTTTCATACCCCCCTAAACCCCCCTAAATATTGACCTAGAGCAACCAAATTTGCACAGGGGCGAGAACTCCTGGGGGCCCACCTACCTACCAGATTTCGTGTTTCTAAGTGCCATAGAAGCCAATCGCGAGGGGGGTCGCATCAACCCCTCCCCCTGCCAGGCCATGTTATGAAAAATGTCCTGCCAGGGCGAGGGTTAAGGTCAACAAATGTTCGTTCGACGCGTCTCGACGAGAGGAACACGACACGAAGCTGCCAAAAGCAATGTCGTGGCTCTCTTAAGTCAAAAGTTGTCGAAAAACATTTTTCGTGGAAACGGCTATTTTTACAGTTTTTGCCCTCCGGAGGCTAAACCGTTGACCTGAGGTCATATCTGAGAACATTACTCAGAAATATCCGTAAAAGTGCTATCGAATGCGCTTTTCCTTGCTTCCCGAGTTGGCCCTTGGCAGTTTCCCAATTTGGAAATTTTGGCGTCAGCCAATCATTATCAGCATGCTGCTTACAGCCAATGGGTTTTATCATCATCATCATCATCATCATCAACCAGTTTATTGATCACACATTGCAAGACATGCATGTTAACTTATTGCAGACAGACACATAAGCGCATTCGCTTAAATTGGAGCGTCGTGTCTGAAATCTAGGACAGGAGGAGGACAGGAGGAAAATGCGTTTATTTTGAGCAAACTGTTTTCCTTTTGTGGAAGTTGGGCAAAAGCTGATCACTACTGGGGCATTCCTTGAAACTACTGGCCACTGGGGCATTTGCCCCAGTAGTTAACATGTTAACCGAGGCCCTGCTCTATAAACTTAATAAAGAGATACTCAGCCAAACTAGCATATGTTCATGACGTAGTATGGAAGTATTGTGGTACTAACAATTTTGCGGGGCAAAAAGATATGTTTGTCCCCCCCCCCCCTGAAAGATGGGGGGCGCAGTGCCCCTGCTGTAGAGTTCTGCACGGCTGCAATTTTCCGCAGCCTAGCCGCCCCGCAGCCGTGCCTCCACAGCCACAGCCGCCCACAGCCGTGGCAAACTATGGGCAGCCAGCCGTCAGCCGGCCGTGGATACTTTCAATGAAATGCAACCAAATAGTATATAATAAGTTGTTTTTAGTTAAAACATATAGCCAAAAGCACATTGCAATGGGCTATAGATTCTCAAGCTCATGAAGCATCATAGGTTAAGTGGTTGTGTATCTGGCTTCAGGCCGAAGGCCTGAAGTCTGATGCGCAACGCATGCCTACACAAGCCCTTGCAAGGAGTTAAGAAAGATGGGTAAGTAGGTACCTACATCAACAGAAAACATAAACAACGAACCAGAATAGAAGCACTAGCAGTGTAGACATCTAATGCCAAATCCTGAAGCATGGTTGTGGGACAGAACAACAGACCCTGATGCTTTTCATTATCAATGCTATGGAAAATGAAACTGAAGTTGATGGACTGTCAAACAGTGATTGTCTATCACTGATGTTAGTTGTCGGACTTTCGTCCCCGTCTTGAGTTGAGATGTTAGTTTCACAACGTTTCGGCCAGTTACTTCTCCGGCCGTCGGCAGTGACGACGGCCGGAGAAGTAACTGGCCGAAACGTTGTGAAACTAACATCTCAACTCAAGACGGGGACGAAAGTCCGACAACTAACATCAGTGATAATAACACCTCGTCTCAAGCATTCAGAAGAATTTTAGTGATTGTCTAGTCAAAACTTGCTTCTTTCTTACCTTGCATATTTTCTGGGGTGTGATATGCCAGACTTGAAGCAGCCTTCTGAGCAAGTCTCAAACTAATTTTATATGCAAGGCATCAAAACACTAGTGAGCATCCAAGAAAGAAGAGCATTCATCTATTTTGATTTTTCCAATTTGATTTTCATTTTTCTTCAATCTTCGCTCAAGTCACCAAGGACGTGCGATCCACAATTGCCTCTTTCAATCAAAAATTTTATTTGAGTTTTTAATGACGTCAATAGCAAAGAAGTGGCAATAAATTTTTTGTGTCTCTACAAACAGCCATAAAATTTATAATTGTTACAGGGAGTATGCGATTTCAGTTAGTTTGCAACGACCCTAGGGTGGTTGTAACCTCCCTGAACGATCAGTTTGTTTGCAACGACCCTAGGGACGTTACAAAATAACTGCTCGTTCCGGGACGTTGTAACGAAACTAGGGTCGTTGCAACCTCTCTAGTTAGTATGCAACGAACCTAGGGTTGTTACAAAATAAGTAGGGAGTTTAAGAATTCATCGAGTCTCGTTTCACAGGAGGGCTAGCAACAATCTTGTCCAATGAAAATCTTGTTCAATCTAGTTCAGTTTCACGGGCGGGAACGTCATGAAAAGTGGATGGGCCACCCTGTCAAGGGGCCTCCTTTTCCAGGGGGCCTCCTATTTTCAGGGGCCTCCAACTTTTGCCTCGTCCTGCTGGCTGCTTTCAAGTATGACCTCCAAATCTAGCTTCTGAGATCGGGCAGATGTCAGGGGCGTAACCGCTTAAGCGAACAGTGCGGACAGTCCGCACCATTTTTAAAACTTATTCCCCCTCCGATTTTTTTTTTTTAGAATCTATTTGCCGCAAGCGGCGCATGACCCCTGAAAACCCTTACACAAATGTCTTCCTCGTTTCCCAGGTGCCCCCATTAGCTTCATAGGCGCCCTCTTTGGCATATAAGCGCCCTATGTATAGTAATCAGAGACATCCCTATACATGTATGTCCCACAGTCGCATACAATGTGCGCTTATCATAGGCGTCTCTCTTTTATGGACACTTGAAGGCGCCTCTCTTTGCCATGCCGGCGCCCCTGTTTCTTATGAATGCACCCCCATGGCATTGATCAATTGCAATTTGCAGACCTCTATTGCATGTGGACGCCATTATATGTAGGCCTCAGAGGCGCCCCCTCTTTCGCATTGAGGCGCCCCAATGGGCTTCATAGGCGCCCCTCTATTGCACGTACGTGCCCTACTGTCTCAGAACCGCTCCCCTTTGGCATGCAGACGCCCTTTTTTCGTACGGAGGAGCGGCTGTGGTTCTTAGAGACGGCATGGTGCTCCCAGACGCAGATGGGGCTCTCGGAGTCGACAGTGTGGGACCTTCAGTTGCTGATGGGTGCCCGCCAGATGTGGACCCTCGTTGACGCCGGTATGGGGCCCTCAGAGATGCCGGTATGTGGCCATTAGAGACACCGGTGTGGAACCCTCAGATACTTCAGTGTGAAGCCATTACAATTGCTGGTGTGGAGCTATGAATGCGCTGGCTTAAATCTCTCAGAGGCCGGTACATGGACATAAGAGCTCAGTGAGAGCTTGTGTGGTGCCTTCAGTGGCCTTGTGGAGCCGTTAGACATCAACATGGTGCTCTTAGGAGCCGGTGAGTCCTCAGTCACCGGTGTGGGGCCTTCAGAGCTCCGAGATACTGGTGTGGGGCCCTCAGAGGTGTCGGTGTGGGTCCTTCAGATGTACCTATAGAGCCTTGAGATGCACAGGTGTGGTGGCCCACAGAGGCGCCGGTGTGGGGCCCCCAGAGCCACCGATATAGGGCCCTAAGAGTAGTATGACCCTCAAAGGCGCCGCTGTGTG